CACTGGGTGTTATACGAAAACAATGGATCGTGGATCACTACATCAAAAACTAATGATGTATTGTATGGTGACTAACATAACATAATAAAATTTAAAAATATATATATATTGAGCACACCAAACTCAAGATTCTATGGATATTATTGCTTAGAACCAGACTAAGTTTAAAAAGTAATTTAAACTTTTTTTAAGATTTAAATTTTTAAGTCATCTCTACACCCAACGTGGGGCTTGAACTTACAACTCTGAGATCAAGAGCCGCATGTTCTACCAACTAAGCCAACCAGGCACTCCTAAACTTTTTCAATATTTAGAAGTAACAGTCCAGGTGGTACATAGATGTGCACTGACACAAACAAATATCCATAAAGTGATTTGATGGGACATGCATCTTTGTGAGCTCCCTGTGGTGGGCCAGGGTATGTGCAGGGCCAGACACCTTATGGGGGTACACGAGTCACGTACTGAATTGTCGGAATTCAGGACTCCAGTAACAGGTGCCGCTTGCTCTGTCCATGACTACATGTAGAAGTGGCCCTCTATTCCCAGGGCATTTGTCAGGTCAGCAGCTGCTCTTGCTTGTGTGCTAACCTTGGTCATACTACTCTTCTTCTTTATTTTCAAGGAAAAACAAGGTACTGATATGCAAAGGTTTTTACTTTCTGGTCAACAGCTTCATGCACTCATCTCTAACAGGTCAAGTGCTTCCCTTCCCAGGTCCTAAGCCGTAACTTTCAGCACTCTTCACACTGTCACAAGATAGCCTCTAGTCCTGATAAGGCCTTGGATCCACTGCATCAATAGGAAGCAGTGTGCGCCTCTCCACATAGGCCACTCCCAGACCTAGAAGCATGTCATAGGGCCTGTCCATCAAGGGAACTCCGACTTACGACTTACGTTGTATACTCTGCCATCTTCGGGTCTGTAGAACTGTGGAAACAGGCCATCAGCATACCGGGAAGCCACAAGTCTCCCCAGAGAAGTCACATAATCTGCATTTTTATAAAGAAAAGTAGTCAAAATGGTGCATTATCAATGTTTATTTTTATTTCAAAATGTTCTTCTCTGACACCATTCAAATTATATCCCCAGTGACACCAAAAATCTATGATGCTTGGTATTCTGTCCTAAATGAGGTGTTTCTAGGTGCTATTATATAAGCTAACTATTTATGACATGCATAATCCTTTAATGCACAAACACACGGAGAGGAAAAACAAGGTTTGTTTCTTGGTCTCCTGGTTCTTTTGTCCACAATGATTAAGGCAAAGGTCAAAAAGGCAATATGTGGTCTAAGCCCTAACAAATTAATAATTACATTAAATGTAAATGGCCTGAGTAAAACAATTAAAAGATAGTGATTGGCTTTCTCTGACTGACTTATTTCACTTAGCATTATACTCTCTAGCTCCATCCATGTCATTGTAAATGGCAAGATTTCATTCTTTTTTATGGCTGAATGCCATATGATTTCACTCATATGTAGAATTTAAGAAACAAGCAAAGAAAAAAAAAAGGAGAGACAAACCAAGAAACAGACTCTTAACCATAGAGAACAAACTGGTGATTATCTGAGGGTAGGTGGGTGGGGGAATGGGTGAAATAGGCAATGGGGATTAAGGACTGTACTTGTCATGATGAACACCGGGTGATGTATGGAATTATCAAATCACTATATTGTATAACTGAAACTAAGATAACACTGTACATTAACTATACTGGAATTAAAATAAATACCTAATAAATTTAAAAACAGAGAAAAAATTAGTGATTGCAAAGAGGATTTAAAATAATGACCCAACAATAGGGTATCTACAAGAAACTTGCCTCAAACATAAAGACATATATAAGCTAAGAGTGTAAGAATGAAAAAAGATACCATTTAAGTATTAAATAAAAAGAAAGCAGATTGACTATATTAATATCAGAAAAGTAAACTAAAGAGCAAAGACTATTACTAGGGATAGAGCAGAACATTATACAAATTTGTGTCAACCCACCAGGAAGACATAGCAATCCTAAATGTGTATGCACAAAAAATAGACTGCAAATATCTTAAGCAAAAACTGATGGAACTGAAAGGAAAAAAAAGACAAACTCACAACTCTAATTGGAGATTTCAATACTGCTCTCTCAACAATTGATAGAATAACTAGACAAAAAGTCAGCAATGATACTCAACAACACCATCAACAAACAGGATTTAATTGACATTTATAGAAAAATCTACACAACAACAGAAGAATACACATTCTTTTACAAGCACAGAATATACACCAAGACAAGTCATATCCATGGCTATTAAAAAAAAAAAAACTCAAAAAATTTAAAAGAACTAAAACCAGAGTATGTTCTCTGTCCACAATGGAAACAAACTAGAAATCAGTAACAAAAAGATAACAAGAAAATGTCCAAATTCTTGGAAAGTAAATAACATGCTTCTGAAAAATCCATGGGTCAAAAAGGAAGTACAACAGAAATTTAAAAAATACTTTAAACTGAATGAAAATGATAATACAACCTATAAAAAATGTGAGGAACACAGCTTAAGCAATGCTTATATAAGAAGAAATGAAAAGTCACAAGTCAATAATCTAAGTTCCCATATGAAGAAAGTAAAAAAGAATAGCAAAACAAATCCAAAGTAAGCAGAAGGAAATACATAATAAACACCAAAACAGAAATCAAGAAAATTGAACACAGGAAGGCAATAAAGAAAATCGATTAAATAAAAAGCTGGTATGTTAATAAGATTAATAAAACTGACAAAAGTAAAAAGAGAGAAGACATGAATTACTGATACCAGGAATGAAACAGAAAAAAAAAGACCTTTCAGACATCAAAAGAATAATGGAATACTATAACCAACTCCACACACATATAGTACACAACTTAGATGAAATGAATGAATTCCACAAAAAACACAAACTACCACAACTTTCTTAATATGAAATAGATTATACCTAATAAGGAAATGAATTTATAATTAAAAACTTCTCAAACAGAAATCCCCAGGACTGGATAGGTTCTCTGGAGAACTCTACCAAACATATAAGAAATAATTAAAATTCGGGGAGATGAACCATGAGAGACGATGGACTCTGAAAAACAAACTGAGGGTTCTAGAGGGGAGGGGGGTGGGAGGATGGGTTAGCCTGGTGATGGGTATTAAAGAGGGCACGTTCTGCATGGAGTACTGGGTGTTATACGCAAACAATGAATCATGGAACACTACATCAAAAACTAATGATGTAATGTATGGTGATTAAATAACATAATAATAATAAAAAAGAAATAATTAAAATTCTACATATTTTCCAGAAAACAGAAGACAAGGGAACATTTCCCAACTCATTCTATGAAGCCAATATTACCCTGATACCAAAACCAGACAAAGGCAGTATAAAAAAAGAGAAAACCACAGACTAATATCCTTTATGATTACATGTGCAAAAATGTATTAGCTATATTGGCTCAATATTCAAAAACCAATCAATATAATCAACCAAATTAACAGCCTAGGGAAGAAAAAAAATCACATGATCCTTTCAATTGACACAGAAAACTTCAATACCCATTCATGGTAAAATTTCTCAGCACATTAGGAATATAAGGGACCTTCCTCAACTTGATTTTTTTTAATTCTATAAAAAACTTACAGCTAACATTATAGTTAGTGGTAAAAGATTGAAACTTTCCCTGAAGATCTGATATGAGGTAAAGATGTCCACTCTCACCATTGCTGTTCAACATGGTACTGAAAGTTCTAGCCAGCCAGCACATGGTAAGACAAGGAAATACAAGGCATACATCAAAAGGAAGAGTGAAAACTTTCCCTATCTGGAGAGGACATGATGGTCTACCAAGAAATCCCAAGGAATCAAAAGCAACAAAAAAATCCTTAGAACTAGTGAGTTCAATAAGGTCACAGGATAGAAGATCCTCATAAAAAAATTAGCCATATTTCTATATACTAGCAGTGAACATGTGGAAACCAAAATTAAAAACACAAAATCATTAACAATTGCTTAGAAAAACAAAATGCAAAACATGTGCAAGACTTGTATATTGAAAATTACAACAGCTGATGAAATAAATCAAAGATGTAAATAGATGGAAAGGTATTCCATATTTATGGACTGGAAAACTCAACATAGTAAAGATGTCAATTCTACTTAAATTGACACACAGGTTTAATGCAATTTCAGCAAAATCCCAGCAATATTTTTGTAGACACAGACATGGTTATTCTAAAATTTATATGAAAAGGCAAAGAAATTACATCTAAAACAATTTTGAAAAAGATTAAACTGGAGAAATCAGTCTGCCCATTTCAAGACATTACACAGTTATAGTAATCTAGACTGTATGGTATTGGTAGAGAGACAGACACATCGACAAATAAAACAAAATAGAGAATCCAGAAATAGCCCCATACAAGTACAACCACCTAATTTTTAACAAAAATGCAAAAGCAATTCAAAACAGAAAGGACAGTCTTTGATTTTATTATTTCATTTTTTTAAATTTTCATACAGCTGACATACAATGCTACATTGGTTTCAGGTGTACAACATAGTGATTCAACTTCTCAAAACAATATATGCTCCCCGTAAAGTGTAGCTACACTATGTCACTATACTTGGCTATATTCCCTTTGCTGTGCCTTTTATTCCTGTGATTTATTCATTCCATAACTGGAATCCTATGTCCTCCACTCCACCCCAACTCTGGCAACCAACATAGGTCCTCTGCATAGGTCTGACTCTGCTTTTTGTTTGTTTTCTTCATTTGCTTTGTTTTTTAGATTCCACATGAATAAAATCATATAGTATTTATCCTTCTCAGTCTGATTTATTTTACTTATCATAATACCCTCTAGGTCTATCCTTATTGTTGCAAATGATAAGATCTCATCCTTTTTATGGAGCCATAATAGTCCATTGTATATATATATACCACATCTTCCTTATCCATTAGTCTATCAATGGACACTTAGGTTGCTTCCATACCTTGGCTATTGTAAATAATGCTGTAATAAACATAGGGGTGCAAATCTTTTCAAATTAGTGTTTTCCTTTTCTTGGAGTAAATACAGAGTAGTAGAATTACTGGATCATATGGTAGTTCTATTTTTAATTTTTTGAGGAACCTCCACATTGTTTTCCACAGTGGCTGTACCAGTTTTCATTCCCACCACCAGTGTACAAGGATTCCTTCTTCTGTACATCTTCACCAACATTTGTTATTTCTTGCATTTTTTACTTTAGCCATCCTGACAGGTGTGAAGTGATATCTCATTTGGTTTTGATTGGCATTTCCCTGATGATGAGTGATGTTGAGCAACTTTTCATGAGTCTATTGCCCATCTGGATGTCTTCTTTGGAAAAATGTCTATTCAGGTTCCCTGCCCATTTTTAAATCAGGTTGTTTGTGTTTTTTTGGTGTTGAGTTGTGTACGCCCTTTATATACTTTGGATATATTATTTGCAAATACCTTCTCCCATTCAATAGGTGTCTCTTTGTTGATGATTTCCTTCACTGTACAAAAGCTTTTCATTTTGATTTTAAATAAAAGTGCTGGAGCAACTGGATATCCAGAATCCAAAAATGAAACTTATACAGAAAGTAACTCAAATTGATCATGGGCTAAATATAAGGTGTAAAACTATAAAACTTTTAGTAAAAATATAGGAGAAAGTCTTTGAGAATTAGCAAGATCCATATAAGAAAATAATAGATAAATCAATAAAGTCACCAAAATTTAAAACTTTTGCTCTGAGAAACTCTCTTAAGAGGATGAAAAGGTGAGCTACAGACTAAGAAAATATATCTGCAAGCCACATACATGACAAAGGACTCATATCTAGAATATATAATGAGCTCTCAAAACTCAACATTGAAAAAATTTAATTAGAAAATGATCAGAAGACATGAAGAAACATTCATTTTGCCAAAGATAATATACAGAATAGGCACATGAAAAGATGCTCAACAAAACTAGATATTAGGGAAATACAGACTAAAACCACAGTGAAATATCACTACACAACTATTAGAACAGCTAAAACTTTTAAATGGTGACAATACCAAATGCTGGTGATGATGTGGAGAAACTGTCTCTCTCATATATTACTGAAGTGAATAATACAGCTACCCTGGAAAAGTTTAGCAGTTTCTTAACAAGACAAAATAAAACTAAACAAAACAAAAAATAAACACACACTTACCACACAGCAATTACATTCCTGAGCATTTATCCCAGAGAAAGGAAAACTTATGGTCACGCAAAAACCTGTAAACAACTGCTCATAGCAGACTTATTTGTAATGGCCCCAAACTGGAAACTACCCAGATGTCTTTAATGGTGACTGGCTAAACAAACAGTGGTACATTCATATTCTGGAATACTACAGCAATAAAAAGAAACAAACCATTGTTATATGCAACAACTTGGATGAACCTCAAAGAAATAATACCAAATGAAAAAATGTCAATCTCAAAAGGTCACATACTACATGATTCCATTTATATAAACATTCTCTACATGAGAAAATTAGAGATAGAAAAGAGACTGGTGATTCCCAGGAGTTAAGGATATTGGGGGTAGGGTATCTGTACGACTATAATGGGGTAGCACAAGGGAGATCTTTGTGGTGATAAACAGTTATGTATCTTGATTGTGGTGATGGTTACACAAATCTACACAAGTGGTAAAATTACACAGAATTATTCACATACAGTGCATCAACGTCAAATTCCTGGATTTGATATTATACTCTAACTTTATAAGATATAACCATTACGAGAAACTCAGGGAAGGGTATTTGGGATCTGTCTATATTATCTTTGCAACTTCCTATAAAGCTATCATTATTTCAGGATAGAAAGTATCAACCAATGGGGCATCTGGGTGGCTCAGCTGGTTAGGTGTCTGACTCTTGATTTTGGCTCAGGTCATGATCTCAAGGTTGTGGGATCGAGCCCCACATCGGGCTCTGCACTGGGTGTAGACTGCTTGGTATTCTCTATCTCCCTCTCCCTTTGCCCCTCCCCTAGCATGGCACAAGTACATGCATGAGCACGCACATGCGCACTCGCGCGCTCTCTCTCTCCAAAAAAAAAAGTATCAACCAATCATCCAAAAAAAAAAAAGGTAAAATAAAAACAAAATCAGATAAACAAAAACTAAGAAAATCCATCCACTTGCAGGACCTGCACTACAAGAAATGCTTAAAAGAAATTCTTTAGAAACAAACACCAGATGGAACTGTAAGTCTTACAGGAAGGATGAATATTATAAATAGTAAATATGTGGATTGTAAAATGCTATTTTTTCCCACTCAGTTTCTTTATAAGACAAATGACTTTTTAAAGCAGTAATTATAACACTGGCTTGTAAGATTTATGATGTATATAAAATAAAATACATTAAAACAATAATACCAAGGACAGGAGTGGGGCTAAGTGGAGTTATACTGCTGCAAGATTCTTACATCTTACATGATGTAGTACAAAGCTAATTTTTAGCAGACTGTGACAAGGATATAATCACTAGAGCAACCACTGAAAACATAATGCAAAAAGGCATACCTAAAAAGCCTACTGAAGTTTAAATGGGATGAAATGAAATATTAAAAAATATTCAATTTACCCAAAAGAAGGCAGGAAATGAGAAACAGAGGAAAGAAAAAGGTAAGACAAATAGTAAAATGGCATACCTAACTCTAACTGCATCAATTATTACATTAAATGTAGAGAACCAAACACTACAATTAAAAGACAGAGATTATGAGAATGGCTTAAAGAGGCACTCCTTAAATAGAGAGACTACAAATAGTTTGAAAGCAAAAGACTGAAAACATATGCCCCGTGCAAATGAAGGATAAGAAAGCTGTAGTGGTTGTATCAATATCAAAGTAAACGTCAAAACGAGGACTACCATCTGAAGCAGAGATGGACATTTAATTCATCAGAAAGCTATGACAATCCTAAATGTGTATGTATTTAGCGTTTCAAACTACATGAATAAAACTGATAGAACTATAGGGAGAAATGGACAAAGCCACTAGGCAAAAAAATCTCTAAAGACACTGCACATTTCTATAATAGAATAAAACCAACCATCGTGAACTAATGAACATCTATGAATACTATCTAACAACTGCAGAATACACATTCTTTTCAAGTGTACATGAAATGTGCACCAAGATACATGCTGGGACATAACACAAATATCAGCACATTTCAAAAGATGAAAGTGTTACAGGCTATGTTTTCTGACATAAATAGCAGTAAATTAGATAACAAGGATTCCTTTAAAATCCTAAAATATTTACAAGTTAAACATTTCTCTTAAAAATGAATCAAAGAAAAAAGTCCCAAGAGAAAAAAATATTCTGAACTCAATGACAATGAAAATATTACCTATCAAGATTTGGATTCAGCTAAAGCAATGCTTAGAGGAATTTTAAATGACTATATGAGAAGAGAAGAAAGGCTTAAAATCAATTATCTAAGTTTCCACTTTAAGCTAGAAAAAGAAATGTAAATTAAACTCAAAGTAAGTCGAAGAAAATAAATAATAAAGGTCGAAGCAGATATCAATGAAATAGAAAACAAAGAACAGGAAAAAAAAAAACCCAAAATTTGGTTCTTTGAAGAGTTATGATATACCCTGAAAAAGACTTATCAGGAAAGAAATGAGAAAAAAAAAACACAAATTATATCTGAAATGAAAGAGGGAACATCTTTAGATTCTACAGGTATTAAAAAATGTTAAGGGAATATTATGAAACATGTTTTGTCAATACATTAGAAAACATTGATGAAATGGACAAATTCCTTGAAAAACATAACTTTCCAAAATTGGCATGATGAAACAGAAAATCTCTATGCCTATTACAGAACAGAATTTCTTATCAAACTTTTCCTACAAACACAACTCCAGGCTCAGGTAAGTTTCACTAGTGAATTCCATCAAACATTTAAAGAAGAAATAGTACCACCCATATAAAAGCACCATCAGAACATGACAAGAGTTAAAAATAGAGCTACCCTATGACCCAGCAATTTCACTTCTGGGTATTTACCCCAAAGACACAGATGTAGTGAAAAGACAGTGCACATGCACCCCAATGTTCATAGCAGCAATGTCCACAATAGCCAAACTGTAAAAGGAGCCATGATGCCCTTCAGCAGATGAATGGATAAAGATGTGGTTCATATATACAATGGAATATTACTCAGCCATCAGAAAGGATGAATACCTACCATTTGCATCGATATGGACGGAACTGGAGGGGATTATGCTAAGTGAAATAAGTCAAGCAGAGAAAGTCAATTATCACATGGTTTCACTCATATGTGGAACATAAGGAATAGCACGGAGGACATTAGTGGAAGGAAGGGAAAACTGAAGTGGGGGAAATCAGAGGGGGAGATGAACCATGAGAGACTATGGACTCCAGGAAACAATCTGAGGGTTTCAGAGGGGAGGGGGGAGGGGGGATGGGGTAGTCCAGTGATGGTTATTAAGGAGGGCACATGTTGTAATGAGCACTGGGTGTTATACGCAAACAATGAATCACTGAACACCACATTAAAAAAAAAAAAAACACACAGGAGGAGGGGATACTTTCAAATCATTTTATGAGCCCAACATAATCCTGATGCCAAAACCTAACAAGGGCATTAAAAGAAAATAAAATCATAGAGCAGTATCTTCCATGACCTTAGATTGAAAAAACCTTGGCAAAATATAAAGAACTGCTATTTTTGCTATTATTAATGACTGAATTATAGTTACTGAAATATAGTTTATATACAAGATAAAACTGCTTTGTTTCCTTATATAGGAATCCCATACACCCTGCATTTAGAAGATACAGGGCTGTATCACCCCTTGTGGAAGGATAAATGGGAACGAATGCACAGCCTGAGCTCTGAAAAGCAAGGCCTTGTCATTAGAATGGGCCTCCACATCAGTCCATAACAACCACATCCCCTAGACCTTCCTTATCACCAGTACGGAACAAAGCTGCCAAAGGAACTGGTGAAAAATCTCCAAAACACAGTATTATTGACCACTCAATAAATATGTGTTTAATTCATTAATTAATTGGCTAATCCAGAATTACTGAGTAAAATCCAAGTAATGGCAATTGCCCTGATTGAAGGAGTGCTCCTCAAGTGGGGTGTTACTGACATGTTGGACAGGGCACTCCTGCTAGGTGGGCTATCTCACACTCCATAAGACTCCCCAGGCCCTATATTTCAGGAACAACTCAAACCAGTATGTCATCAGAAAATAAATAAAAACAAAGACAAAACACACCCTCACCCATCTCCAGACTCCCTGTTGGAGGGCAGTACTACTGGGAGTTCAGGACCAAACTTCTAAACAGTGTGTTTAGAAAAACTAGCCCATCACATAAGAGAGGCCACAACAGGAAAACGGCACATTCTCCCTGAAACCACACAAAGCTATTGTCTTAACAGCCTCCTAAAGGGGTTTGCGCATCCCAAGGGATGAAGAAGACATCTGCTGGAATATGTACAACTTCTATTTATTTTTTTATTTCATCTTTAAAAGGACTAAGAATGAAATTAAGCAATATTTAAGCAATGTTTAATAAGTGGACTGACAATCATATATCTATGTAACAAACATATACTGGGGGTCCATGTACATTTTTTATGGATAAGGATGTGAGATCAAAACAAGCTCAGAGGCCTGTGGTTTTGGGGGGCCCTTCAGAAGTGATGCAGCCCCCTCAAAGGCTAAAGGATGGCATGCTGGTTGGGTTTCCCAACCAGCGTTGCTTTGTGAGTACTATACCTTCACAATGAGGGAATCCAATCTGTGACAGAATCTGTTTCAAGGTCAATTTGCTGCTCTTAAGCCCATGCAGTTTTAGCCATTCCTCGGATGAGATGAGACTCTGCCCGGCCAAGTCTGTTTTGGTGTTGCTTTGTCCCTCTGGCCCCTGCAGCTGCGGCTCAGAGATGGTGGAAGATGAGGCTGATAACTCCATCTCTGAATTAGGATCTAAGTCACAGAGACCTCCCATAAGGGCAATTGTCAAAATCAGACTTCCTGAAGACTTGGAAACAATCTAACATCAACAGAGGATGGGTTTAATATTAATTACAGCACAGTCATTAAGTGGAATTCAATCTATCATTAAAAATGTTTAATACAGATGCATATTTGCTGACAAAGAAGATATCCACATATATTGCTAAAATGTAACCATAAAGTTCAATATCCATCCATACATCAGCATATGTACACAGAGAAAAACATCTAGAAAGGTAACTGCCAACAGTTTATAGTAGTTTTATCTGTGTGGTGGGAATATATGTAGTTTTTGCCTTTTCTATGTTATTTAAAAGTTCACATTATTTAAACATTTCTGAAAGTGGCTTTACTTTTATAATCAGAAAAAATGCAAAGCTCTTCCATTTTAGAAAATACACATTCGCTCCTGAACCTTCATTACACATCAGTATTCCAATTATAATTGCACCTGACCTTTTACTTCCAAAGAAAATACAGAGGGCAAAACCCTGAGAGAAACATACCTGTTCTACAGGTAGAGTGTCTAAGGGGGAGCTAGCGACAGGGTGGGAACCAGATCACAGCTCAGCCCAGCAAGAATACATGGATTCACTTTCCAAATGTTTTATTTTAAAGTTGGACTTAAACATTCTGAATCATGTAGCCAGCTGTTCTGGGACCAACTGAACTCCAGGCAATATGCTACATATTAAACTTATCTAGACCTGCCTAAATATAGCTCCTGTACACAAGAGGGAAGGAGTGGCCCAGACTGTAATGCAATCTTAACCCACTCACCATAACTTCAGGCAGGGAGAAAAAGAAAGGTCTGCTTACCTCTGTACCCAGAGTATGAAACACATATGTTTGTTCCCTGGACTGTAAAACTTTTCAACAACAGAAATATTCTCTTTTCCCATTTCTAAAACTCCAACCACATACCCTGCAAGTCTCTGTTATGATATGAAAATCAGTCAAATACAGAAATCAGTTGGACATAAGCTAGGGAGTTCTCATGAAACAATATTAGATATATTATTATTAGCAATGAATGAGTTACGCATGGATAAGCACTTGATAGACTGGAAAGAGCTATGTCCAAATAAATTATTTAAGAGTCATTATCCTTTAGTAATTGTACCTTATTTATATGCCCACTTTTACTCCAAGTACCTTTTTACCCCCAAGTTCCCAGTCATACGAGCTATTCAGTTTGGGCTTCTCCTACTTTAGACTCACAGAACATGAAAACAAGAACAGACTTCAGCTTTCTTTTTGAGATCTGTCCAACAAAGACTGCCAGCTGAAGGACTTTTAAATTTGGCTAACGGTTCCCATAGAAACAAGAAAAGGAAGCTCAGAATAAAGATTTTTGATTATTTCATCATTTCCAGTTCATCTTTCTTCTCCCTGACACACACTCACCCACGTCCTATGTTCTTCTTACTAGAGGGAGCTACATGTCATAGGTTAAAAAGGCAGAACAGCTATGTAAATTGTCCTTATAAGGCTCCTAGACTGGATTTTGGAAACAAAGGTTTCAGAAGAGTCGTACATTTTAAGGCCAACTCTTGCTTCCAAACAAAAGGCAATTGAATCCTCCAGCTAAGGTGCATGCCCCAGTGCCTCCTGCACTCACATGGCTTAAAAAAATTTAAATAAATATTTTTAAAAAGGTCTGGATGGCTCTACTGAATTTGAGAACCTGTATGAGTCATTCTTTTTTTTTTTTTTTGAAGAATTTATTTATTAATCCGACAGAGAGACACAGCAAGAGAGGGAACACAAGCAGGGGGGAGTGGGAGAGGGAGAAGCAGGCTTCCCGCCGAGCAGGGAGCCCAATGCGGGGCTTGATCCCAGGACCCCGGGATCATGACCTGAGCCGAAGGCAGACGCTTAACAACTGAGCCACCCAGGCGCCCCTGTATGAGTCATTCTGATTCAGATCTTGACTCTTAAGATTTTTTAGCCTGAGAAGACCCATATTATCAGAAATGAAAGCACCTGGACAATGGAAATAACCCAAGAAAACAGGGAAGGAAAGAAAGGGCATCTCCCAACAGAAGGGATCATTCCACTCAGACTGGATAAGAGATACTGTCAGAGCAAGGAAGCCTGCCAGAGCAATGATGCCAAATGACCTGACAAAGCAACCCCTCCACACATTGCCCACCTGCTTTCCTAGCTCCAAGCTGGTCTCAGGCGGTTCTCCTATGTGAAATCTTAAACTTCAAGGCCCATTTCAAGCTCTACCTCCTCCATTAAGCCTCTCCAGACCCCCTCACCAACCTTCTGCAGCATCTCCCCAGCAAAGCTCCAACTTGCACTTTGACACTTCACCAATATGACCTTGGGCACTTCAGATTCATCCTCGCTAGACTAAAAGAAGGTTCAGTGACTACAGGGACAAACTATATGAATGTCCTCAGCACAGTGCCTTAAATACAGCAGGCACTTTGTAAGGGTGCTGAATTGAATTGATCACTCAGAATTACTAAGAATACTGATTTTCAAACAAGGCAGCGATTTTTTAGTTCAAACAAGGCTAATATCAGGAAATAGCTGTCATACTATAAAGACATACTATCTTCCAGATATTACTTTGTTGTTACTATTATTACTGGGATTTTTCAGGATTTCTTCATCTGAGGTTATTACAAATTGGGGAACAGAGGAATCCAGAAGCAAGAAACAACAAATCCAGTAGAACACTGCCCTGTTTTAAAAGCTATCCCAAGAGCAAAATTTGGGGAAATAGGAAGGGATTTCCAAAAGAGAATGAAGAAGTATAAACGGGGAAAAAAGTGAAAGTCTGAGCTAAAGGTAGGAGCAGGCAGGCAGAGCTTGGGGAAAAAATAGAAAGGTTAAGTGGGCACAAGTAAAGGCCCCAACTAAGGGAACCAGAGGCGCCAAGGGCAGTCAGCCTGTGCTGCTAAAGTCTGCCCACAGGGGGCAGCCAAGAGATGCCCCAGGTCATCCTGAGGTGAGCACCTTGAGGAAGTTCGCATGGCTTAATAGAGTAGTTCCTATATGGTCAGAGATTGAGGCACAATGCACAGATTCAAGTCCATTAATTCAGCTTAAACATTAGGTATACTTCTGGTTTATTATCAACACCCACAACTTCCTATATCCATTGCTGAAAATGAAGTCTAGATTCGGTGGATATATCTTGTGATTTATGTGAGTTTTGAATTACAATTTTTCCAGGGAGAAAGGAAGCTGGGATGAAGCCCCATGGGTATCCTGTTGCAACTCTCCTCCAGAAACCCTTAATCTACTCCTCGCTCCATTCTCCTGCCCTGAGGAGCAAGTCTAGCCTGTGATCATCTGCTCAAATAATGTGGGCAGAGGCAAGGAGACTGAAATGGACTGGCCCACAGTTGAGAAAATGGGGTCAAGAAAAGAAAATCTAAGGATAATAGGTCTGCTCTAGGAAGGTCTAGGAAGGAAGAAGAAAGAAACCAAGAGCTCCCAGGAAGATAAAAGTGGAAACTAAAACTAATTAAGTTGTATGCCCATATAAAAAGAGGAAAAGAAAATGGTGCTTGTCTTAGTGATGTGATTGTGAAAACCACGTACTTGTAGAAGAATGGAAGAGAGCCAGAGGATATTCCAGACCAGAAAGTTGTAGAAAGCTGTAATCCACGCAGATCCCTTTGTTTTAGACTATTCATGTTATTATTATTTCCTAAAAATAAATTTCTACTGGGGCGCCTGGGTGGCTCAGATGGTTAAGCATCTGCCTTCGGCTCAGGTCATGATCCCAGGGTCTTGGGATCGAGCCCCACCCACATCGGGCTCGGGGCTCAGCGGGGAGCCTGCTTCTCCCTCTCCCTCTGCCTCTCTCCCTGCTCATGCTTTCTCTCTCTCTCTCTGTATCTGTGTCTCAAATGAATAAATAAAATCTTAAAAATAAATAAATAAATTTCTCCTGGTTCTTGTATTAACTCCAAAGCCCATGTGCACTTCACCTTCTTATTACTGTTGGCCTATGGTAAGACAGAAACCAAGAAAGCTGGTTCTCCACCAGAGCAGCTGAGCTTCACTGGGAGCGGGGTAAGGTGGGAAGAGCTTTGCAACAGGAGGGGTCGGGTACCCGTGTCTCAGCCTGACCCAAAGAGTAGTTCAGTGAACCTGGAAAAGTGGCTGAACTTTTGTGGAGGGCAGTGTAAGTCGGAAACCGCGTAATTCCAAGCTTTCCCTCCAGGGAAACCTCGGCGCCTCGAAGGCTCTGGCGTGGAAGGGATCGCATCCCACTTACTAGGCAATCTGTCGGATGAAAGACAAGAAGGTTCCTGTTTAGCAGCCGCCCTCCCATCCTCTGGGGGCCCTGTGACCCCAAAGGGCCGGTGAGGCGCGCATCCCGCTGGTTGGTAAAGCAGCAACTCCAGCAGGCGAAGGGTCGCCGCTTGGCGCGAAGAATTATTCCAGACGTTCGATTTCTCTGTGACCCCAGCGCGCACCGCGCGGCGTGTTGACCACGGCGTCGCCTCGGTTGCTCGGACGCGGCCAATCACGGAGCGGCTCCCTGAGCCGGCCCCGCCCTCAGAGCGCGCGCCCAGGGGAGGCGGGGCCAGCGGGCCGTAGGGGCGGGGCTCCGAAGCGAGTTCAGGGGCGAGGTGGAGAGAGTGGGTGTCCGGGATCCCCAAGGCGCTTTGGGACCCAAAGCAAGAGCCCCACGCTAGGGGACAGGGTGGATGGCATTGTCCCCTGCGCTTACTGTTACCGAGAAAATTAGCAACGGCGGTGAATATTTATTAAGTTAACAAGCAGATAAGCACGCAGAAGAGCCCCGGTCAGGGACGAGAGCGCGAGCAAATCGTGGAGGAAGGCGCCCAAGGCGGGAGGGAGGCCAGTGCACCGCAGGAAACATTACGGTTAACTTCTGTACCTACTTTAAAGCGTGCAGAGCACTTACATCTGCGTAATTTTGTTTAATTTTCACCTGAACGGTGTGAAGAGCTATTGTTCTTCATTTTACAGTTGAGGGAAAGAAGCTTAAAGAGGTGGGGCAGTTTGTTACAGATCGCTCAGCGGTGGAGCTAGTGTGAGTGAAGCTCAGACAGGTGAGACTGAGCTGCAGTTTTGGAGGAGGGGCTGCCAGTTACCAAAAATACCCTTATCTATTAGGTAGGGGTATTCTTATAGCATTATTTTCTCCATTCGGCTTTATTCTTAACCCTAATTTTTACCGTGTCAAGTAAGCAAGGAGCTCAAAATAGAGGCCTCTGGTTTTTCAGTCACTTGGAAATAAATTTGTGTTTAATGAAAAGCATCTTTAAATCCTTAATAAAAGATCCCACAGGCAAGTATTGTTTTACTATGTTGGGGTATTAAAGTGTGGATTTAGATTTTAAAACTCAAAAAGTGACCAGATCATTTGTAGGTTTTTGAGTCAAATATCTAATAAAAACATGGTTAACAGTAAAACTGAACAATTCTGGGGGCGCCTGGGTGGCTCAGTCGTTAAGCGGCTGCCTTCCGCTCAGGTCATGAGCCCAGGGTCCTGGGATCGAGTCCCGCATCGGGCTCCCTGCTCCGCGGGAAGCCTGCCTCTCCCTCTCCCACTACCCCCTGCTTGTGTTCCTGCTCTCGCTATCTCTCTCTGTCTGTCAAATAAATTTTAAAAATCTTAAAAAAAAAAAAAAAAAAAGAAAGAACTGAACAATTCTGTCCCCCCGCCAAAAAAGTCTACTTCATCCACAAGATGTTATTTTTTCTACATTCTTTTAATGCCTTTATAACTTTAAAAGTACTAACAGGTTTGATCTCAGATCACAAATCATTCCATAAAATTATCAGATTGTATACCATTGGCCTTATAGATGGCACCTGCAGCCACACCACCAGAGAACAAACAAAAATTCAACAGTACCAAAAGATTGTGTGCAGAAGGGAAGTACTACAGCAGCCACACCCACATTTGCCAATGCCACAGTAATCCCGGCTGTCCACACCCTGCCAGACTAATGTTATTGGGTCTCATGGGTTAGATAGAGGGCAGAGCATTCACCCAGCCAAACCCACTGCCTTACATAGTCCCACAGGCACTCCTTTCCTCACCTTCACCCCATGCATTCTCCCTTCCCTGAGACACTTGCCACTTACATGCAAGTGACTGCAGATGACTCTATGCTTTTGTCAATTATATGTATGTGCCTGCATGCGTAAGTTCATATGAAAATGTTAAGCATTAATTACTTAAAGTATAGATAGACAAGTAAGCAGAAGTTGAGGTCCTTTTGAAGTATTGCATAGTTGATTCTGACTTCAGTTCGGCTAGCCACAGGATGGTTCACCTCATTTTTGTGTGTGGCGTGGTCTGGAATAAGAATACCTTTAGCACAGTTGTGATATATCATTGTTCTGAACTTGAACACATTTGCTTTGGATTTACGTTTCACAGATCATTTGTATCCTACTCTCAACCTTAATAATTGGCATTTATCGTGTCACTCCCAACCTTAGCTTCAGACTCTTTGCCACTGCCCACAACATAAATGCTCCAGCAGAAATACTAGCCTGGTCCCTGCCTCTGACCACATACCCTTACTCAGACCCCCCCCCCTCCTTTTGCCTGGATTACACTAGCTTGGGAGCCACAGAGCCCCAGGTCTCTTCAGGGTCAGCTCAAGCTCTTCTCTCTTCATGGACACTAAGGCCACAATAATTTTTCTCCCCCTGTCCAGACTCAGAGCATCGTTGGCAGTTGGCACTCTTGGCAATGGTGTACTGCCTTGTGAGAGCCCTTCCATTGTTATTTGACCCTTGTGCTGTTTTTTCAGGTTGAATGGTTTTTCTTTTTCTTTTTTTTTTTAAAGATTTTATTTGTTTATTTGAGAGAGAGAGAATGAGAGAGAGAGCACATGGGGGGGAGGGCCAGAGGGAGAAGCAGACTCCCCGCTGAGCAGGAAGCCCGATGTGGGACTCGATCCTGGGACTCCAGGATCACGACCTGAGCCGAAAGCATCGCTTAACCAACTGAGCCACCCAGGCGCCCGGTTTTTCTTTTTCTTTAAACAAGTCTATTACCAGCACTACATGTGCTTATGATCATGATTAGAATCTTTTGGGGGTGGGCGGAGGTCGATGAAACCAAGGGAGAAAAAGTGGTTTTCCTAACCCCACCACAAGAACGGGAACCAGACGAACAGTAGAATATTGACTCAAGGGAATCATTTATAGGGTGAGAAAGAGTCTGAGATGGACTTAACACAAAAGCACTCCCTTGGAAGACGAAGGCTGGGGAGAGCAGGGGGAATGGAGCAACTAAGATTGCAGTCACCGTTGAGCCTTGCTGGGCACTGTTGGTCCAGGATGTTTGGGCTGTCAGGGGCTGCCTTGAGAGAGGTGGGTGGGTGGGAGCAGGGGAAGGCAAAAGTCCAAATGGACATTTGTGTCGACTATGATGTTCTGCAGTTCATGGTTCACTATTTGGGGAGTGACTGCAAACCTGTGGCTCTCAATCTAACATCTTTTGTGAGGAACAGAGCTGTAAGACGTAACTGTTCTATTCTTGATAATTACGATGTTCAAGGTTCGCCAACATGCAAAACAATAGCTAGAACTTATTGAATGCCAGACACTGTTCGAGGCATTTTAAATATATCGCTTCTTCCAATCCTTACAAAAGCTCCAGGAGGAAAATACCATGATTATTCCCACTTTACAGATAAGTAAACTAAGACATAAGATTAAGCAACTCCCCCAAGGCCACTCAGCTAGCGAATTGTGAACCCAGAATTTGAACCCAAGCAATCTGTCTCAGTACCCTGCCCCCTTAATTAGATGCTGTGTTGATCAATTGTTGGCCCTTATTTCCTCCAAAAGAAATTTTCCGTCATCCCAGCTGTACGGTGTTCATTTAGAACTGGATATTGATGCCACAGTGAAAACCTCACTGGTTTTGAATGGGTTTTTAACAGCACACACCTCAACATTAAATGGCATAAAGCAGGTCTGTTTTCTAATTACCCCTCCCTCCCACACTTCCTTTTTGTTGTTGTTGTTAATGTTTGCAATGTGCCATTGTTTTTAAAAGAATTGGATGCCTTTTAGTCTATTACTATATCCTAATAAGTAAATGAAGAAGAATTGAATAATATTTCATCTAAACAAAAAAGTTCCAAACATTTGGAAATTTAAAATCACTCTTCAAAATAGATACTTATACTAAAAGCTGGCAAAAACAATACTCGTGGATGAGAGTTCAATCATATGGAAATTATATTCAGGAATGGGCCTGAATCTTGCCTTGCTGGGTCATCCTCTTCCTACGGTTTCCGAGGAGAGAAGTACACACACAGGCCAATGGCAATGGGCAACAGGTGTTTCCCTGTTTTAGGTCCCTCCAACCCAAGGGCAGGTTGACCCAGCAACCCTACATGTGTACAGGACTTGGGCAAAGAGCTAGGGCCTCTCTCCCCTTCTAAGCTCGGGTCTTTCTACCAGCTCCTTCCCATGCCTGGCAGGCAAATATGTAGCACAGCTTATGTGGGAGGAAGAAAGAAAAGAGGGCCTGCCCACTAGAAGAGGTAAGCCCTGGTTTGGCTTCCCTCTTTTCCCCTTGGGGAAAGAGTAAAGTGCCAGAGAGAGAAACACACCTGGTGGATAATTTCACACTCGTAAACTTGGCACCATCAACATCCTGGAATCTGATCCAATTAGATCAATACTCCTACTTCTTCAGGAGTGAAGAGAGAGAGGAAAGAGAGGAGAAGGATAACATTAGAAGAATTAGAACATTCTCATTGATGAATTTAATTGTAAAAATCCTAGGTAAAACAGTAGTAAATGGAATTTAACAGAAGATTTTTTAATCATTGTTTTAAAATTGTGAAAGTACCTACCTTTCTGCCAAGCAATTCCACTGCTAGGTTTCCTTGATGCCACAGTGAAAACCTCACCAGATTTGAGTGAGTTTTTAACAGCACAAACCTCAACATTAAATGACATAAAGCAGGTCTGTTTTCTAATTACCCCTCCCTCCCACACTTCCTATTAAGTTTGCAATGTGCCATTGTTTTTAAAAGAACTGGATGCCTTTTAGTCTATGAACTAAAGAACTAGTCTTTTAGTAAATGAAGAAGAATTGAATAAATTTTTATAATGCAAAAAAGCAAAATAATGGAAATCACCTCCATGTCCACCAATAAGGGAGTGATTGAAATTATGGTATATTCTCATTGTGATATGACAGCAGTTTAAAAGAGTAAGATTTTTTTTGTTACAATATAGAAAAGTTCCAAGGTGTACTGTTGAGATTCTTTTAATCAAATTGCAGAACAAATACATGCAGTATAGCGCATTTTGTGTT